AGTCTGTTCTATTCGACTGCCTGAGAGTAGCTTTGGTGCATTTGCACTGGAGCTGTGGGCTTTTTGCGATCAAGCATTGTTGAACGGCTATGGAGGGTGGTGTTTGGTGAGCTGTGAGTAGATGGTCACTGGTGGGTTAAGAGCGCGGCGACGGTCAAGCAATGCTTGGGTGCTTGGCGCGCGAATTCTCACCAGGCGAAGTGCGAACAATGCTTTGTCGTTTTTTTCTGTGTTTACGCGGTGCAACAGAACCTGTGTGCACCCTGACTAAGAGCAGCATCCTGATGTTTCTGCTTTCAGTCATCCTTCGCTCGACTGCATCGCGTAGCTGCGTCATTTCATCCGTGCACCTGCATTTCAAAAACTGGACAATATTATCTACGGAAGAGACGCGGAACAACAGGGCGTGATGGCACGGGGTCGTTTCCTATCAAGTAAACAACACTGCATATGGAAGTGACTGGTTAATCTAGCTCTAACGATTTTACATCTCCAAAGGACTAATGGCGGCGCGTCGTTATTTGAAGCTTAATCCTTTGCCACGCTGGTGACAGATGGCAAAGTGCCCGTCAGTCTGTCACTACACAATGCAGCTCCTCCTGTGCAAATAATTTGCGTGAGGCACTCGACGGCTCCAAAAAACCTTGACAAGAACGGCAATCGCTTAAGTGATTTTGGCCATAGAGCGATGTACTGAGTTCGAAAGGCCTGTAAGCAGAGTACAGGCCTTGGAAAGAAATGCGTTGGACAGGCGGGCAGGTTTGCCTGCATGGCGTGCATATTCTTGCTTTCAGTTGTCCTGGGCACAGTGGTTAGTCTTTTTGGTCCGTAGCGCGCTGCGTGGGCAGACGTGCCCACGATGGATGGCAACACGTCCGTGTAGTGCTTTGAGTTCGTGATCGTGACAACACAACACGGCTGCATCTCCGCTATGCTAACGTTTGGTTGGCCGTTGCTTTTACGATGCAGGACGTATGCGTAGCGTGCTGTGCGAGAGCGTTAGAGCAGGGATGCATGCGTGGCGCAGGAGTGTTTGACTTTGCGCGAACGAGAGCGCGGACGGCGTTTGTTGTTTTGTTCGCCGCGATAATATTCGCACGTAGAGTGTGTTTGTGTACGTGTGTATCTGCTAGT